CCCTCTGCTGAGTGATGTTGGTGATGGGGAGACAGTGAATGGGGGGACGGGCAGCAGGTTGACCCTTAGTAAGACAGGCCCCTCTGCTGAGTGATGTTGGTGATGGGGAGACAGTGAATGGGGGGACGGGCAGCAGGTTCACCCTTAGTAAGACAGGCCCCCCTGCTGAGTGATGTTGGTGATGGGGAGACAGTGAATGGGGGGACGGGCAGCAGGTTCACCCTTAGTAAGACAGGCCCCTCTGCTGAGTGATGTTGGTGATGGGGAGACAGTGAATGGGGGGACGGGCAGCAGGTTCACCCTTAGTAAGACAGGCCCCTCTGCTGAGTGATGTTGGTGATGGGGAGACAGTGAATGGGGGGACGGGCAGCAGGTTCACCCTTAGTAAGACAGGCCCCCCTGCTGAGTGATGTTGGTGATGGGGAGACAGTGAATGGGGGGACGGGCAGCAGGTTCACCCTTAGTAAGACAGGCCCCCTGCTGAGTGATGTTGGTGATGGGGAGACAGTGAATGGGGGGACGGGCAGCAGGTTCACCCTTAGTAAGACAGGCCCCCCTGCTGAGTGATGTTGGTGATGGGGAGACAGTGAATGGGGGGACGGGCAGCAGGTTCACCCTTAGTAAGACCGGCCCCTCTGCTGAGTGATGTTGGTGATGGGGAGACAGTGAATGGGGGGGACGGGCAGCAGGTTCACCCTTAGTAAGACAGGCCCTCTGCTGAGTGATGTTGGTGATGGGGAGACAGTGAATGGGGGGGACGGGCAGCAGGTTCACCCTTAGTAAGACCGGCCCCTCTGCTGAGTGATGTTGGTGATGGGGAGACAGTGAATGGGGGGACGGGCAGCAGGTTCACCCTTAGTAAGACCGGCCCCTCTGCTGAGTGATGTTGGTGATGGGGAGACAGTGAATGGGGGGACGGGCAGCAGGTTCACCCTTAGTAAGACAGGCCCCCCTGCTGAGTGATGTTGGTGATGGGGAGACAGTGAATGGGGGGACGGGCAGCAGGCAGAGGCAAAATACCTGCACCTTCCTCTCAGTTCGGTTGTAAACCCAAAACCACCTGAGAAAAATAAAGTCATTTAAAAAATCAAGCAGAAAATGCCAACACTTGAAGAAACATCATTTTTTGTTGTTGGCTAAATAATACCTTGCATAACTTCCATATAAATATTACTGAGAAAACGAGAGCATTCCACTAAAAATTTATCAAATATACATTTTATCAAACTCTAACACAGTATTGGTAATGTAAAGTAGAATATATTAATAGTCTATCCTAATTTGACATTAATAATGTATTACTTTTAATACTGGTTTTATATTAATAAAGGATTAGTTTCAATAATTACTGCAGAACTCAGCATTACTGGTATCAGCATACACTATGTAAATTGTATTAATGGAACTGAACTTTACCACTGGAATATCCCATCACGCTTTAGTGTTTTAATTGATCACTGTATCAGTGTCGTGATTACTTTGTTATCCCGTCGCCCTCCATCTACTGGCAGGCGCGTTGGCACCTGCTCTGCCGGCTCCTCTCGCGGACGCGTCTTCAGGCTGCAGACACGGCGCAGTCGGCTTGCGTCAGCCCTGCTGCTCTGGGGGTGAGGGCTCTGCCCCGCGGCCACAGGGAGAATGTAACTGCTTCCTAGTTAATCTCGTTGGACTTCTAACATTTTAATTAAAGCAATCTTTAAAGTGAGAAAACCCCTAGGAATAGTCCCTTCAGTAAGGACTAAGGAAACGGGTGCCTGTCCACACGTGTGGTCAGGCACCCCCGTGGGTGACCTTCCCCGGGCTAGTGTTCCCCAGGGAACGGCTGTGCAGTTCATCTTCAGGCAGACACACGAGGAAGGGATCTTCTGAATGTCACCGGGAGCGGTGACATCAATCTTGTGAGCACAGCGCAGGGGTCGCCCAGACCGCCTCCCCGGGGGGATGAGACTGGGACCTGGGGCTCGTTCTGGCTGCAGTTCAGGCTGGTCACGCAGCCCTGTGACTGGGCTCCGGGCACAGGAAGGAGGAGGTCACTGGCTGGAGGACTAGGAAGACTCATGCGTGGAAGCCTTTCTCCCTGAGTTGGCACCAGAACCAGTTTTAAAGATGATTCTAAATGTCCTTCAGCATCTTACGTATTTAAGTTGAAGAATGTCCAGGTCTTACACGTTTTGAAGAGGAAATTCTCAAGGGATCTGAGGACCCACTTTCTTATTTGGGGGGGTCTTGTCTGAGTGCAGATGTGTGTCATAAGAGAACACACAAGGGGTAGAAACCCTCATTCCATGGATCACCTGAGAATGGAGGGGTGGGTTGCTGACTCTCCGCCTGCCGGGGGCGGGGGGGGGGGCAGGGGGTCATCACCACACAATGAACTACAAGCAGACACAGCTTTGAGTGACGGGGAGCATCCGCGGGAGCACGTGCTCCAGATCTCTGGATGCAGTCCCATTTCTTTTATTAGCAGTTCCCTAGGTTACATGGTGATCTAGGTAATTAGGTCCTTGAGATGGTATCTCTGCTGACCTTACAGCCAAGCCCAGCCTACTTCCTGTTCCAGCTGTCTCCGGCTGATTTCGGAGGAGATAACAGACACATTCACGCTTAGGTGATAAGCCCACTGGTGTTTTCAGGGCGGTTTTCCAAACCCAACATGCATCCTTGTCTGTTCTCATGAATCCTATACATTCAGGGCAGCGGCCCAGCCCTATCAAGCATACTCTGATTGATACTTTCAGGAGACTTTCCAGGCCCAACATGCGTACTTTATCTCTTTGCATGTACACCTGGATCCTTGGCTGGCCAGACCATAGGAATGCACACCTCAAGGTTACACTGTGCTCATCCACCAAACCCCCAACCCCACAGTGAGTGGCACGGAGTTCACCGATGCGCAGTAATGAAAGTACAATATGACAAGAAAGCAGATTCATCTGTTCAACTAGTGACTGGTAAACAGATATCCTCAGCTTGTCCTGGTGCCAGCTAGTGTCTGCAAGAGTGTGACGCGCCCTGCTACCCCGCCTCTGCTGCAAGGCTCAGGGAAGAGCCCACCGGCCCCCCACATCGGCCCAATGGGGCTGCTACCCTGAAACAAACCCATCTACTTGGCCCTTGTGCTGGTCAGCTAGCTGCCTTCTGCAGGAAGGGTGAGGGCTGCGACCCGTGCAGCACACCAAGGGCCCTTTCCATCCCTATGTGGGGGGAATGGTCAGAGGCCCCCCAGGAACATGACCAAAACCCTGGCACCTCACACTAGCCCCTTGTGATAGGCCCAGTGAAGGAGGCTGGTTTATTCTGTTACATGAGCAACTTCCTTTGTTTTTATTATTTAAACGTTTTTATTGATTTTTTAGAGAGCTAGAAACACTGATCGGCTGCCTCCTGCACGCCCCCCTCTGGATATCGAGCCTGCAAACTGGGCATGTGCCCTGACTGGGAATTGAACCGGGACCTCTCAGTCCATGGGATGATGCTCAATCTACCGAGCCATACAGGCTGGGCTGAGCAACTTCCTTTAAAAAATGTTTATGATGATATATGGCAAGTCTGGCAAGATGTCTTCCTTTCAAGTTCTTTGATATTTTCATTTTGGAGACCAAATGACTGCATTTTATTTTTTATATGAACATGCCCATCTTTTAGGTATGAAAAAAAAAATCATTCTAAAAACAAGACTGAAAGTGCTGTCAGCAAGGTGGCGGGCTTGGAGGTTCCCATGCTCCTCTCCCACAAAAAAACAAAAGCCAAGACAAAGACTCGTACAACCTGATGGAAACGGCTGTGGGAACGCAGCAAAAACCCTGCAGAGCTCGAAACCAAGGTGGCCACTTAGACAAGTACAGGAAGCGCTGCCCCCATGCACCCCGTCCCCGAGCCCAGAGCAGGAGGGATCTCCACGGCGGAAGTGCATCCCAGGAGCTGCCGACCTGTATGTAATTGTCCTCTGTCCACCCCACGGCCTTGATCGCACTGCAGCTGCTCAGCATTCGTACGCGTGCAGGTCAGTGAGGCAAACCCCTCTGGCATGGATCCCAGGAATCCCAGGACCAGCACACACATTGCCCGCACGGGACCTGCCCTCCCCTCCTGGAGACACACTGGGAGGGGTGTGGTTCCTGGCACCAGACAGGTCTCACCTTCAGTTCTTGCCCAGGGACACAGCTGAAGTCAACTACAGCTTGGGGGTAAATTATATGTTGTCTTAAGGAGATCGATATGTAATCATACAACCTGATTTTATTTTAGAAAAGATTTCAATGTGAAATTGAGATAAATGAGAGTGGTACCCAGATCTCAGGGGAATTTGTAAACTATTTATTTGCAAACACAAAGTGCCCCCCACCTGCAATCATCAGTACATTAGTGCTCATAACAACTCCAAGATAAAGGCACTAGGCTACTTCCGTCTCTGAACAGAGGAAGCTGAGTCACAGAAAGGACCAGTAGCAAGTCTCCTGGGCTGACAGTGGAAAAACCACGGGGTCTGTCATCATGAACTGCTCCTTGACCCTTGTGGACACTTGCGCGTGTCCCTTCCTGGTCACGAGCTCCGCCTCTCCAGCAGGTGCCAAGATGCGCAACTTCGCTCGCTCCTCCTCCTCACACACGACCTGACTGTCTCCACCCTGCCGCACAGAATCACTCGTGGTTTGTGAAACCGCTTTTCCTTGGGGGAGGTGCATTAACGAACGGATAAGAAGGCTTATGTGGTGTCCGGCAGGTCAGGGCCTCTGCTTGCTGGGGGTTTCTGTCCAGGGTCGCGGAGGGGAGCTCAGCAGCGGCTCAGTTGGGTATGGGTGTGTGCGCAAGTCAGGGCTCGTCTGAGTAAGACGCAGGGTGGGGCTGAGGGTGGACCTGATCCAAGTCAGAAGCATCATGGAAATCATCCAAAAGTGCTTGGCCTGGAAGGGCCCGTCCAACAGATTATACTAGAGGTTTCTGGCGCTGCCCCATGGCCGCGCTGGGTTGGGGTCGGAGCACACTGGGAACCTGTCACGGGCGTGGTGAGGTCCCTGCTGGCACCCCCAGGGCACAGCTGCCGGCGAGCTGTGTGAAAACGGCTGTGGGAGAAAGAAAGACTCAGAGACACAGGCCGAACTTACCCACAGCCGCGGAGCGCAGACTCACGTCTGCAGGTTCACAGCACGTAAGGAACAGGACTGCAGCGCAGATGTTTTCAGCAACGGGGTCTGCTGTTCACTATTCACCAGCAATGACCTACTGAAGAAGTTTCATCTAATTTCTTACAAAGTCCTGCATCTCCTGTCCCCAGATCGCGCTATCTTGCACTGTGTGCCACGTTTTCCTGTGGAGAGTTCTGCTCAGCATTCTGGCTCCGTTCCTGGACAGTTTGGTAGAGGCGCTCTTGGAGGTTAGTTTTCCCCAGCGAGCTTTCTGCTGTGAAATGCAGCGAAGTCTCTCCATGTGAGTTTCGGCTGCTCTCCTCCGTGGGGGCTGCAGAGCTGACGTGACGGCTGATCACCAGAGACTGTCCTTCGTGACACCGAGTGCTCTGCAGTCTGAGTGTCCACGAGCCACAGCGTTCCTCTGCGAATAAAGGACTTCTCATAAGCTCCACCAAATCACTTCCCAAGGATAACTGGTTGGTATTCTCAAGAGGTTCTGGCCCCTGCATCCTGTTTTAGAGACTATTCCACCAGTCTCTGGTGCACACCGTGCCTGAGCGTGGCTAAATGTCTCTTCACGGCGATGACAGACCCAAGCGTTCTCCCGCGGGGTTTGCTCACTGTTCACCGGGAACCACGGATGACAGCATTCCCAGTGGCTGCAGACCGAGGGCTCTTCTCTGGTGCAAGGACGGCGATGACAGACCCAAGCGTTCTCCCGTGGGGTTTGCTCACTGTTCACCGGGAACCACGGATGACAGCATTCCCAGTGGCTGCAGACCGAGGGCTCTTCTCTGGTGCAAGGCAGAGAGCTGCTGCCGCAGACTTCTGCACACCTAGGCTTCCGGTGGGAGTTCCCGTGTCCCCACGGTCAGACCACTGACTGGAGGTTTCGCCAGAGATGCCACAGAAACGGATTCTCTCCCATCTACCTTTGCACACAGCAGATGAGCGAGGAGTCCGCAAGATCTTCCATCAACTCCAGACGGTCCCCCCGACGGGTGGGTCCTTGGCGTGTGCAAACGTTCAGCTGACTGAGGTTTCCTCCACATGCATCGCACTTAATGCCATGTCATCTCAGGGCGGAGCACCTGCTGAAGGCATTCACAATGTCCTCCCCAGTGTGAGTCCCTTCGTGTCGCCGAAGGGCGGAGCACTGGCTGAAGGCTTTCCCGCACAGGGGACATCTGTACGGCTTCTCTCCGGTGTGCGTCCTCTCGTGGCGCCGAAGGGCGGAGCACTTACTGAAGGCTTTCCCGCACTGACGACACCCATAGGGCTGCTCGCCAGTGTGCGTCCTCTCGTGCTGCCTGAGGTTGGACGACTGGCTGAAGGCCTTCCCACACAGATGGCATTCGTACGGCTTCTCTCCGGTGTGCGTGAGGCTGTGCTTTCTCAGGTCGGAGCTCTGGATAAAGGCGTTCCCACAGATGTGGCATTCGTACGGCTTCTCTCCAGTGTGCGTCATCTCATGTCGTCTCAGGCTCGAGCAATTACTAAAGGTTTTCCCACACAGGTGACACTCATACGATTTGCCTCTGGTGCAAATCTGCTTATGTTGACTCAGACAGGACTGGTCACTGCGGGATTTTTGACACTGTTTGCTGATACAGGGCTTCTTTTCCATGAGAGTTAACAGATGCTGAGTCCCTGTGGGGCTATGAGTGAAGTCTCCCAAATCACCATATTCACAGGGGCCCTCTGGAGGGTGAGACGTCTGCTTCGGAGAAGGAGATGAAAGGCTGTTAGTGATCTGCCCGCACAGGTTCGTACATTCGCTTCTCCAAACGTGAGTAAGAAGTCCATCTTTCAGTGATGGTATCAATTACACCCTTCCCAGCGTTCCCTGCACACAGCGCACCTTACCCCCCTCCATTCACAAGCTTTGTCCTCTGCCGCGTCCCAGCTGCAGAGCCGAGACCGCCTGGAGGAGCCAGTGCTCCACGACGAGGCACAAGCAGTGCTCAGTGCCGCCGTCCTTTCTATCATGATCTCGGCTTCTAGTTTTGAGTTTAGGTTAATTTCTTCACCAAATTCAAACTACCCAAAACTTTTGCTCAGAAGAAGTTTAATCCCAAATTAACACAAACCAGGGTATTGTGCTCAGTTCTCACCCCCCCGCCAGGTCTTCAATTTGGATGACCAGGGCCAACACCCGTGAGACTTACCAGGGGCAGGATTATAAATGTGTCCTTTCTGATACTGTGCTGTGTGGTTATCATTTCTTGTTTTTCAGTGGCACTTTCCCTGCCTAAAATAATTGAAAAAAAAATCAGAACGACATCAGGGGAATGGAATGTTGGAAGTACAAGCCCATGTGCCTATGTCTCAGAAATTGGCATTCTGATGGGGAATATTCTAGGAGGTAGGAACACATTCCAGGGCAGTGACAATTAGCAAAGACTTTCTGGGCTGAAACATGAAAAAGTAAAACAGAGATGAGCTGTCAGTAGGTAAGAGAGGAAAACCCTCGAAAAGAGAGGATCAGAACGAGAGCAACAGAATGTGCCTCCCCCCACGCCTTCCCTGGGCACTGTGAGGACGCACTGAGCTGATGTGCAGGGACAGTGACAGCACGGGGAGAATGTGCCCTCCCCCCAGGCCTTCCCTGGGCACTGTGAGGACGCACTGAGCTGATGCACAGGGACAGTGACAGCACGGGGAGAATGTGCCCTCCCCCCAGGCCTTCCCTGGGCACTGTGAGGACGCACTGAGCTGATGTGCAGGGACAGTGACAGCAGGGGGAGAATGTGCCCTCCCCCCAGGCCTTCCCTGGGCACTGTGAGGACGCACTGAGCTGATGCGCAGGGACAGTGACAGCACAGGGAGAATGTGCCCTCCCCCCAGGCCTTCCCTGGGCACTGTGAGGACACACTGAGCTGATGCGCAGAGACAGTGACAGCACAGGGAGAATGTGCCCTCCCCCCAGGCCTTCCCTGGGCACTGTGAGGACGCACTGAGCTGATGCGCAGGGACAGTGATGGCACGGGGAGAATGTGCCTCCCCCCACGCCTTCCCTGGGCACTGTGAGGACGCGCACTCACTGAGTGGGCACCATCCTCCCAAAGCACCTGCCGCTCACCTGCCCACCGGCCAGGGAGAGTCCCAGCGCCTTCAGTCCACAGCTCTTCTTGCCCCCGCTGGAGAGTCAGCTCGGATCTGCAGACCCCACACCCTGTTTGTGGAGAAAGTATGCGGATCTGAGTCCTCTGCTAATCAAAGTGCACTGTCATCAAGTCCAGGACAGGCTACAGGGGAAGAATAAGATCACTGGAGGTCACCCAGGCACCGTCACCTTGAACAGAGAAAATGGGGAAGAAATCCAGATCGCGTGTCCGCAGGGGTGCGACCTCTGGGTGCTGAGTCCATGCCCAGATTCAGACAGAATGCAGGACCCTCAGCTGTTTCGAAATGGGCAAATGGGATGTCTCCAAGGGGGCTTGAACATTATTTTCAAAAAGATGCCGATAACAATAAGCTCCACAAGAATAATCAAGTTCTGTGGTTATTACACTCCTCTGCTCTGAAGCCTCAGCATGGTGACTACAACAGAACAATTATTTAGAAATATTTAATCAACTTATTATGCATTCAAAAATATTCGCTGAGTTCCAGTTAAGCTCTGGGTGTTGGAGATTATAATAAGAAAGACATTAAGTGGGGATCAAGATTACATTCTAGTGGGGTGTCAAACTAGGTGTAAGTCAAGGAAAAGAGACAACTTCCACATAGGTCTGAGGTCTAAGAAAGAATCAGGGTAGAGAGTGGAGCGTGCTGTGGAAGCTACTCTAGATACTTGCTGAGTGAATAAACGAATGAATGAACGAATGAACGAACGCCTGCCTGCCTGCTCACATGTATACATGCATAAAGGCTGACACACTCACCCAGGGAGACCAGGTGACTGATGTTCTCCAGCATCACATCTCTGTACAGCTTTCTCTGGGGCGTGTCCAGCAGAGCCCACTCGTCCTGGGTGAAGTCTACAGCTACATCCTCAAATGTCACTGATTCCTAAAACATCATGGACAGTCCGCTTTAGACAGACCAATCCCGCCTCTGTGCAGAGGAGGGGGGAGATGACAACACTGGGGAGGGGGAGGAGCTGGGTGTGTGGGGGATGGGCCCGAGTCTGGGTTCTCAGGGCCCAGCTGCCCCCCCTCGGATGCGGTCTGCACAAACACGCTTCATTGACAAGGACTGCCCGTGAGCACGGTGTAACAGCCCGGGACCATCCAAAACTGGTCGGCATGACTTCCAGACACGGTTATAAACACTGCCCCTAAAGATTCCTAACTAGAACTCTCTTCTTGATTAATGTCAGGTAACGTTAGACTTATCGTTACGGCGAACAATCACCATGATGTGCCAGGTTTAAACCATGACGGTGGTTACATCATTCCCTAGGTCAGCGGCTCTCAACCTGTGGGTCGTGACCCCTTTGGGGGTTGAGCGACGCTTGCACAGGGGTCATCTAAGACATAACAGTAGCAAAATTATAGTTATGAAGTAGCAACGAAAATAATTTTATGATTGGGGTCACCACAACACGAGGAACTGTGTTAAAGGGTCGCGGCATCAGGAAGGTTGAGAACCGCTGCCCTAGATGAACCTCAGACTCCTCGTGTACAAAAGGGTTTAATCACTTGTTACGAGTGTTGAAAGATCCAATGAACTGATACATGAAGTTCATCCTATCTAAGTAAACTTACACAGCACGGGTCTATTACTGAAGTGTCCACGGTCCTTGGAGGTATCTCCAGGATTCCCCAGAACTGAACAAGTCTATGCAGGACTTGGTACCAGTAGGTGTGTCTGTCTTGTTGCTACAGGACTCGGGTGTTCGCTACAAACAACAGTCAGATGCTCAGCAGCACAAGCCGGGGCTCGGAGAGGCTGTGCTGAAGGACAGTCCCAGCCTGCCCGTCCGTGGGAGGACACTTCTCATTCTCGACTGCAACTGGGACTTCGAACAGCAGTTATCACTGTTTGCTTTGTAGCTTTATCTTGTCTCCAGCTAAAGGATAATAGAAGATTCCTGACTGGTTTCAACCTGTCTAGTTCCTCAGAAACTCCCAGGTCTACTCTGCTCTCCCTGCTCGCGTGCTCAGCAGAAGCCAAGGAATGACGCTCCCTACGCGTGAAGTCCAGCTCCCAGGTATGGAAAGAAGTCATCACTAAAAGGCAACGTGCATGACTGGGGACAAGAACGATGATGAGAACTTTATTAATCTTTTGAAGAACTCTCCAAAAGTGCACATATCTTTTGTCAGAACCTTAAATTCTGAAATGGAAAAATATTAAATGATTGGTTCCTCATACTTTCCGTGGCCCTCACCCTGTCACATTCGCACAGGGCCCGAGTGAGTGACTGGCCTCCCTGATGAAGCCACGGCCTCCCTGCTGGACTGTGATGTTCGGCTCCTCCATCGCCACCCGCCACCCTCACACCACTGTTGCATATCGTGGTTAATGAATGAATTACTTTCTGGGAAGGCCATGGACTGAATTAGAGAAAGAAAGCTACTAATGAAAAAGATGGCTCTTCTGTAGATACACAACCTGCTGGATAAATTAGTACGATGTCAGCAAGAATATCAGTCCCTGGGGCATTCCTGACCCAGCACAGCCTGAGTCCTGGGAGGCTGCACCGGAGCCCCCATCTCTGAACACTCCTGACTGCTCAGGACATGGACGCCAGGAGGAGAAGCCTGCCCCCTGCTGTCGACAGCGGTGTGATTTCAGTAGAGAGGCATTCCCCACTCACCGGTGGCTGCATGGTCAATGACTCAGCTGCTGGGTGACTTTCTCTGGGTTTTCACTCACAGACAGTCCAAGCACGAAGCAGGCAAAGCTGGGGACAGAGAAAGAAGACATGAGACCCCAGACTGGTGCACCATTTCCAGACCTTCCAGCCATGAAGCCCAGTGCCCCCTGGCTGTGACTCCCAGCCTACCCAACAAACACGCAGTCACTCGATGAGAACTGTGCAGAGGACCCTCCTCCCCCAGGGCCAAAAGAATGAAGACCACGACTAGAGTTGGTAATGAAAAGAATAGAAATACAGAAACCTCATGGATAAGAATACAAAAGGTATTGCGCTTTGTATGTTAATTAGGCCAGGCCATCTAGAGTTATCCAATTCCCTCCCTGATTCCAAAGCATAGAGATCCCTGACTCACGCCATATGTATGTTGGTTTCCACCTGCAGGTAAGCACTGTGGAATTTCTCAGGTGTCATTACCATGGCCTTACACACTAGCAAGGGTTCTCCAACCTCCTTGGAGCCCTCCAGACCCTCACTCCCTTCCGGCTCTCAAGTTCCCCAAGCAACTAAGGACCTGTTTTATGACAGACCTCAACACTTTACCAACTCATCCCGTTTGGAGGGCCCAATGGTGTCCTACCCAATCAGGTCCTCAGCCTCTCTGCCAATGGCGTTCATCCCCAATCAAGTCCTCAGCCTCTCTGCCAATGACATCCATCCCTGATCAGGTCCTCAGCCTCTCTGCCCAATGGTGTCCATCCCCGATCAGGTCCTCAGCCTCTCTCCCAATGGCTTCCATCCCCGATCAGGTCCTCAGCCTCTCTGCCCAATGGTGTCCATCCCTGATCAGGTCCTCAGCCTCTCTGCCCAATGGTGTCCATCCCTGATCAGGTCCTCAGCCTCTCTGCCCAATGGTGTCCATCCCCGATCAGGTCCTCAGCCTCTCTGCCTGATGGTGTCCATCCCCAATCAGGTCCTCAGCCTCTCTGCCCAATGGTGCCCATCCCCGATCAGGTCCTCAGCCTCTCTGCCAATGGTGTCCATCCCCAATCAGGTCCTCAGCCTCTCTGCCCAATGGTGTCCATCCCCGATCAGGTCCTCAGCCTCTCTGCCAATGGTGTCCATCCCCAATCAGGTCCTCAGCCTCTCTGCCCAATGGTGTCCATCCCCAATCAAGTCCTCAGCCTCTCTGCCAATGACATCCATCCCTGATCAGGTCCTCAGCCTCTCTGCCCAATGGTGTCCATCCCCGATCAGGTCCTCAGCCTCTCTGCCCAATGGTGTCCATCCCCAATCAGGTCCTCAGCCTCTCTGCACAATGGCGTCCACCCCCAGTCAGGTCCTCAGCCTCTCTACCAATGGCGTCCACCCCCAGTCAGGTCCTCAGCCTCTCTACCAATGGCATCCACCCCCGGTCAGGTCCTCAGCCTCTCTGCCAATGGCGCTCCATACCTAGGTTTTTCCTGAATATCACCTTTGATATTAATAATCAGAAGCCCCACCCTGCTACTAAAACCTCTTCTGCTTACTTTTCCACAAAATCACCCCTCCAACTTGGGTTCTCTGCCACATGGGGAGTCCAGGGACTGACTTTGCCTCCCAGACATTAGGCTGCAGCCCTCATTTCTCCTGTCCAGCACTTACTCATCTCATCAGACATTTAGGAGGTAGCGCTTTCTCCCACGTCCCTTGGACTATGAACCACTTTCCCATCAAGATCCTGACTCCGTGTTCTAGCCTTTTCCGGGAATGATCTCAAACAGACGACTAGGGTTGACCTGTCTAAACACAGTCACTACTCCTAGTGGTTTTCAAACATATCTGGCAACTCTACTATGTTTTGTGAAGTAAATCATTCTTCCGTGCTCCACAAATATTTCAAAATCTTCTCCTTGCCTTTTGGACCTATACATTCTCATCGTTGGTACTGATCTAATCTAAAAAGCCACGTCAAACCCAAAGCCACCTAGATTTTTTTTCGATGTTTTCTTCTAGTAGTTTTATAATTGTGTGTTTTACATTTAGGTCTATTATATTTTCAGTTAATTTTTGAAGAGGATACAAGGTTTGTAGCCAGATTCATTGTTTTGTACATGGACTTCCAGTTGTTATGCTCCCCTTTTTGAAGACTCTTTTCTCCATTGTATTGTTTGGACTATATTTGTGTGGGCTTGTTTCTGGGCTCTCTATTGTGTGTCAATGATCTATTTGTCTATTATTTTACCAACAGATTATGTCCTTAATTATTCTCCTTTTAAAAGTCTCAAAAGCCCCTTCATCTCTTCCCCAAAGCCTCGCTGTTTATGGGTTTTGGTTATGGGAAACGCTGTGGAGAAGCCAAAGCAAGGGGTCCATCCTGCTCTTTATTTCTAAGAGGCTCGTGATCTACTGACAGCTTTCAGGCTGTGAGTACCAGGCTGACTCCATAAAAGTAGAAATGTTTGCGTTTAAAATATATATTCAAAGGACGTATTTTTCAAGCATATAGAATCTGTACATATTACCTCCAAGAAACAGAAAAACAGTTCACCACAGTTTTATTTTAGTCGGAATTAGCTAATGATTAAAGACTGAAAAACCCTACATTTCAAAATATTAGGGCTTCCCAGAATAAATGATTTAACTTCACTATTGATTTTCCTATAAATAGGATGTGCTTTAACTATTTTTGAAAATATTAACACATGAAAGGCTAGGACATAATCTTAAGAAGTATGGTAATATAGAGAAATAAAAGAACAAATTGTTTTTGAAGAAAAATCATGTAATATATATTCATTTTAAATATAAGTATTTGATTTTTAAAAAACTGTCATCACCATCATCATCATCATCATCATCACCATCAGAGAGTACTAGTGCCCGCCCCAAGGCCAGAAGAATGTTGAACCAATTTCTCCTAGACCTGGATGGCCCAGAGGTCAAGGGCCCAGGCTACAAACTCAGCCTGCCAGGGCCCCAGCCAGGCTTCCCCTACTTGCTGGTGATGTACAAGTGGAGAGATGGCCTATACACCTTCACAGGTTAGTGAGTGCAAAGGGCTCACACTTGGAACACTATGGGTCACTGCTGTAGTGACTTCTATCTTCTTACCAACATCCTTAATTAAAGTCAGAATGACTTCAGAACCATTTATGCCTCAGACCCAGGTAGCCTCTCACACTCAACCACTGGAACCCTGATCCCATGTATGTCCAGAAGAGATGCCTTATCACAGGGTCCTCTCCTGAAATAGTCACACAGTCTGATCATCAAGGAACTAAAATTAACTGCTTTTAACTTAAACCAGGAAGTGGAATGATTGATGTTCAAGGCCTGGATAATATCAGAGCTCCACTGATCCATCATATACGCCCATTCCAGGAGCCCAGGATGGCTTCTGGGTGAGAAGCACCATGCCAAGTACACCAAGAAGTCCCTAAAGATGTTTCGAAACAGGGCCCATACGTACCCTGTAAGGTGTCAGGTACACATCTCCATAATTCAGAATGTTCAATGAGCATCTTCCAAAGCTGAAAAGCTCTGCAGAAGAAGGAAACTGACATTCATCTCCAAAACCGAGGGGAGCCCAACATTGCACCTATGACCCCATGCTGTCCTCCTCCATGTCACAAGGCCAGAAAGTGGTTGCAGCCTGCTCCAATTGGGCCCTGTACTCCCTCTTAGGGCGCTTGGACTGGCCCTGTACTCCACACCCCTCCACCACTGCCTCTAGCCCGAGCTTTGAAGAACCCACTGCTCTCAGAACAGCGAAAGCATGTGCTCCCTGGATGTTGGTCCGTACCTGGAAATGCGGATCTTCTCTGTAACGCACAGGAAGGAGAGTGTCTTCAGCATCACAGAAACAGGCAGTGTCGGGGTGGTTGCCAGGCTCTGCTCTCTGCCCACTGTATGCATGTACAGTGATAAAGAACTTGAAGCTTTCCTTCTCGGCGAGTGAAGGGGCTGAGGCACTGGAGAGTGGTTTAAATGTCTGAGGGATGACGGCTGGGTTCTGGGCAGTTTCCTCTTGTCTTCCTCTGAGTCACTCAACAGGGAGGACAGAGCTTTCCGTCAGCTCTGAAAGGGAAGCCCCAGGTCAATGCAAGGATCTGATACCTGGGAAAAGTAGCCACTCTCCAGGAAAGCGCACAAGGCCCAAGATACTCCATCAGCATGGGTTACCGACTTGAGTTACCCAGAGAACAGGGAGAATCCAAGAAGAGGGGAGGAAGAGCTAGGAAAACCAACAAGGCACTGGCCAAGGGATTATGTTGGGCTTCGATTTCAAGACAAATTTAGATTGAAATGTAAAATAATCTTTTTCACCTCCGGAATGTCTCTTCTAATGAAATGCAGGGATGCCCAGGGAAGCCCTGCGCACACAGAACAGGAGAGCCCTGCGTGTGGGAAGAACGCACCTCGGAACCACTGTGCTTGGCCTGTGCTTCCAAGTGGCAGGCATCGAAGGTCATGAGCCGATGAGAACTGCACACGGAGCAGCCTCTCAGGAGCTGAACTTGCTTCGATTGTGGAAAACCCCAGCCAGGTCCCACCAACGTTCCAAATGCCCTGTGCTCAACTGTCACTGTGTTGAGCCAGGAAGAGTTCCTGCCACAGCACAGCCCTGACACCTGTTCCCTCCAACCTGTCACCATGAATTCATGCAACTGAAGGAGAAGTCAACGCAACTAAAATCGCTTGAAAAACAACACGAATGCAGTAACTATTAAAAAGTCTAAAGTGTAGCCCTGGCCGGTTTGGCTCAGCGGTTAGAGCATCCACCTGCGGTCCACAGAGACCCGGGTTCGGTTCCCGCTAAGGGCATGTACCTCGGTTGCAGTTTGTCCCCGGCCCTGGTTGGTCGTGCGGGTGGCAGCCACTCAATGTGTCCCTTTCACATCGATGTTTCTCTCTCTCTCTCTCTTCCTCTCTCTCCCTCCCACTCTATCTGTACAAAAAGTGGAAAAATGTCCTCGGGTGAGGAAAAAAAAAAAAAAAGTCTAAAGTATAAAAGAAGTAGGAGTGAAAAAGTAATTGAATATTAATATGCAAGGAATCCTTTGCCTTGGAGCAGATCATTTAAAAATTATCCAACAACTTCAGTAATGGATGGCTCACAAAGTATTACAAACCTTAATTAATGGAACTCCAAAGCAGAATTACAGGAATGGAAGTCACATATTTACAAGACAAGAAAAGGAAAAATGATCTGGCAGAGCACAAACGCTTCCAGAAGTAAAGTAAAACCGTTTAAGAGAAGAGACCACGTTGGGAAATGAAAGGAAGGGAAACAGACAGGAACCGCTCATGCATGGGGATGGCAGGCTTTAAAATAACAGAAAAGGAAAAAACTAAGTAAAACCACTGAAAGTATTAGAAAGAAATTGAGATCTGTGAAAGACAAGCCCACAATTATCCTGGTAAAGGTAAGAAAATGATATGACAAAAATAATTTTTTATTTTACTCCAACAAAGAAGACCAGAACATAGATAAGTGAAGAAAGAAAAAAAACAAAAAACAAAAACCACAACTTGAGGAAATTCACAGGAGGGAATTTACATGGAGTAGTAGAAAATACATTATTTATAAGCCAAAAAAGTGGAGTAAAAAAATAAGATGTAGATCAATATGCTCAATGGAACTTTCTTTTTCTTCTTCTTCTTCTTTTTTTTTTTTTGGTACGTGCACCTAGCGGGAACCGAACCTGGGACTTTCTGGTCCGCAGGCCAACGCTCCAACTGCTGAGCCAAACCAGCCAGGGTTCCATGGAACTTTCTAATGAAGAAAATGTTCTACATCTACATAGTACCATTCAGTAGCTCCCAGAGAGATGTGGTTACAAAACACCTGAAATTTGGCTGAGGACATGAATTGTAGTCATTTAATTTGAATTCATCTAAATGTAACAGCCACATGTGACCAGTGGTTATCATATTAGACGGCACAGATCTAGACCCTAAAATAATGAAATAGAGTCAAACAAAAATGGAAAAGGGACACAAAGAGTCCAAAATAGGACATGAGATTGGAGAAGTAAATGTTGACACAATGAAATTTAAAGATGATAATATGTTGCTTTGATATGAGAAACAGATAGAGCAGGGAACCAGACACACTGGGGCTCTATGAACATGAAGTTCAAACTCCCTGCAGGAAAGACGGACTTAAGTATAAAATGGAAGATGAATAAATATGAAAATTCGCAATACACATTTTGATGTGACAAAAATAAACTAGTTTACTAGTATGGAGGAATGTCACATAGAAACAATGGCCACATAGTACTTTCAAGAACGTGTTAAGAATGTATTAGCTTGGCCTTCACCTTCAGGGAACATGTTTCATGGAGCAGACCTAGGACTTTGAGGTAAACCACCTCGAGGCCTGCTCTGAGCATCTGGTCCTTCACTTGGAGGTCTAGATTCTATTTTCCCATCTAGTTAGGTTTTTTATATTATCGCCCTCACATAAAGACCATTATCATTATTGTTGTCCATCACCATGATTATAAATATTATAATAATTATGATTTATCACTGTTGTTGCTGTTAAAAACACTGAATCAATGTTCGCTATCAACACAGGGTGTCTGGTTTACAGAAGGGAACTAAAAAGGATTCCCCCAAATACATACAAGTACACAAATACTTCCAGGTCGCTCCTGGTGCCCTTCCCAGAGATCAATGTCCACAAAGCTTCCAAGTTTCCTTCCAGACTCCTGCAGTGACCATTTTGACAGGGGAGACTGGGCAAGAGCATCTTGGCCTGCCTGAGGCTCTGGAAAATACCATGTCACGTCAGGGACAAACAACCACTCATGCCTGCATACCGGTCCCAGGGAGGGTATCCATGGCCCGCCAGGCTACGGAAAATTTTCCTAAGACCCCTCAGGGCTCAGGAATAGATGGAATAAGCATGGAAGGCTAGAGAGGAGGTCCCTGCCCTCTGGAGCCTTTGCAGGATTTTCTCAGTGTACCCCAGAACCAGGGAACTGCTCGTGCCACCCTACAGACCTTCGGAGCAGGGCAAGGAGGGACCAACCCAGGCTCCCACCAGCAGGCCAGGCTCAGAGGCAAGATGCCAGAAGTACATACCTGAAGGCGGCAGAGTGGAACACAGGCAGAAAGTGGAACAAGTCAGGGTCTGGAAAGGCTGTAGCCTCAATGTTCAGAACAGGTGGGACTTTACAGGGCTGGTGGGCAGGGCATGTCCTTGAGTCTGGCCACCTTCCTGGAAGCCAGATTCCCTGCAAGACACACACAGAAACATTGAAATGAACCAATATAAGAGCTGTCTCTGAATGCAGTTTGTTTTCCAGATATATTTTTATATCCTGTCATTTTTTACTCATTTCAGCATTTTGGAACAATTAACACATCTAAATGAAATCCATTTAATATTTTTAAAAGAAAATGATGACATGAGTATGGATTACACAGGAATTCAAATGATTGCTTATTCTAAAATATCCTTTTTGCAAATCATATAGCACTTAAACTACATCCAGGCAAGAGGGGTTTTTACACTAAATTTGATGTTTTCATGTATCACTCGGCCTTTTGACAGAAAACAGTTCAATGAGAGTTTCTGCTGGCCCTAGATACTTTTGCTTCTATTGGATGCTACTAAAGAGGATATTCATGTTGTCTAATAAAGTTTCTATGACTCATCAAATATTATGAACTTATCAAAACTCTTTGCCACAACTGTTGATCTTTCATAATATCTCAGGTAAGACATCAAGCATCTCATAGATACCCTCGTTTAAACAACAGCTCTATAAAATTGATAGTTTCATTCCATTCTAAAAATATTGCAAGAAGTTTAGTAAGGCCAAGTATGTACCAAATTTTCTCCTGCTCCTAAGCTTTTCTGTCTCCCTCCCACTCCCTGATCCTCATTCTTATTCCTTCTCCAAGCTCTCTTCACGGAGGCAGCACCCCTCCTCCCTCCTCACTGGGGAGATACTTTTTATGTTTGCTCAGTTTTAAAAGTCTGGGACCTCCCCCAAGCTCCTGTGACTGTAGGGCAGGAAGGCGGTCAGCTGGAGAGGCCAGCAGAGAGGGGCAGCACTGTCCTCATAGGAATGACAGGCCTGGATGGGCAAGTGGCAGGGTCTGCCCTTCCCACTCCCACCCTTCAAAATGACAGGTCATATTTCATACATCTGAGCAGGAGGGTTCACTTCTTGTGCATGGCTTTAATCACAATGATCTCAAGTATTTAACTCCTCTTTCCCAGAACATCACGTAAACTATCACCAATTAGGACTGCAAGCAGACCTCATTAGCATCCCTGGAAAACATGGAAATAGCTCCGAGCCATGTGTGCACCTTGAGCAGATGGCCTTTCTTCCCACAAAATCCCAGGCCAGCCCAGCTCATCCTTGATCGTTTTCAGAGACACACAAAGAGAACATGCATCTAGTTGGAAACTTCAGTCCACTGCTCGCTGAGTGGAAAGATCACACTCGCGGGAGAAAAATGCTGAACGAATCGGTTCAACTAGGTTTTGACTGTTAATATTAAAAAAAAAAAACCACTAACCTCCTTACCAAGAACACACTGAAATAGTGTAACATTATCTACTAAGGACTAGTGTCTTCGATACAAAGTAACGGCTGGAAAACCAACCAGAACCTCGTAATCTGAACCGGACACAGTGCACTTAAAAGGGGCGACGACCTGGAGGTGAAGGACAGAGCGCGAACGCAGGGCTCGGTCCTGCCCGCACTGCGACCCCGGGCCGCACCGGCTCGGCGGCCGCTGCCAGCCCCCTGCGGCCCCTCCCTGGCCCTTCCATCTCCGCACCACACTGCCCTGCGCGCCGGCCTCCCCCGTCCTCTGCTTCCTCACTGTCCCTCGGGGCGTCCCTCGCCGCCCACCCACGGCGCGTTCACGGCAAAGGGGCGCGCACGCGCCGGGCGGGAACAGCACTTTCTGGCGGGACAGGGGCGTGAGCGCAGCCTGACAGGTCGGCCAGTGGGCGGGGCTTGTGGGCGGAGGAACCGGAAGTGCCCCGGCCGGCGCCAGGATGGGGCGGGGCCTCGCCGGGGGGAGGCTGCGGGGCGGCCCGCCCGGCGCGGGGAGCGGAGGGGAGACGGTGAAGAGACCCGCGGCGGAGGCGTCGGGGCGGGGTCCGGCCGCGGGGCGACTGTACCTGAGAGTGACGCAGACGCGGCTGCACAGCGTCCCCGGGACGCCGGACTGCAGTGTGGAGGACGCGGCGCTGGGGGCAGCCACGTGCGAGTCAACTGGAAATACGATCTCGCTCCAGGAAACGGGGTCCTCGAGCTGGGAAGTCTGCTTCCGGGTCGGCAGGAAGCTGCGAGCCCGAAGGGGCGGGGCCTGCCCGGCTGAGCCGTGTGGGCAGCGCCTGGAGGACGGGCTCGTGGTGGGCGGGGCGACGTGGGCGGGGCTTGCGTCGCCCCGCCCCCGGCCTGCACTGTTACTGGCAGAAGCGGAGCGCTCCCGTTTCCTTGGAATGTGCGGGGTCACGTGGGCTCGCGGCGCCCACCGGGCCACAGGTTCGGGGACTTGGCTTTATTGCAGGAACTTGGAGTTGTGGCGGCGCTTATGCCGAGGGCGGAGGTGTCAACGACTTGCAAACAGTGGCGATCAAAACCCTTTTGTGAGCGCGGGCCCTCGGGTGGGTCGCTGTGCGTGGGTTCGGAACACCTGCGGCGCCACCCCTCTTAACTTGCTTTTTCCTTTTCCGATGGAACTGGGATGTGGACACCGACCTCGCCTGCAGGACAACCGCGGAAGTTGGTTTGCGGGGCCCGGGTTGACCATGATGGCTTTGAAAGAACAAAATCACTCCCTGCGTGTCTGTACATGTGTGCACATGTGCGTGTGCACGTGTGTGCACATGTGCGTATGCATGACTGCCTTTGTCTTTTACATTTAATTTGTTATATTTCACCAGTCTTGAGAGTTATACATACAAATACCTCTGAGGCAAATGTAGATGACATCCTACTACTTGCCCAACTCATTATTTTCTGAATATATTGTAATTTCACATTTTTCCTTATCTTTACTCCCAGTTATCTGAGTGCTTTTCATTTGAAAGATGAGATATATTAATCTATGTTTTTGCTTTCTTTTTCTGAATGTTGTGTGGATAAGGAGGCTTGTGAAAAGTGCGCTCCTTAGGAGATAGGTAGATTTTGCCTTCAACTAATGAAAGATCGTTGTTGTTGTTTTTTTATTTTTAGACACGTATGATTGGAATATCTACTTTCTCACACGAACATTTAAAAGCAGTATAAAACTGGGTGTTCACATTTCAGTTGCCTCATTTAAACCCTTAATAAATTTTAATATGAAATATGAGTTAAAACTTCCTTTTGTAAATTCTGAATTTCATGCTAGAGGAAATTTGGCAAGACTCCATCCCAACTCTTCATGCTGCAGACGCTTCTTAAAGAGCATTTCCAAAGAAGAATCCTGTTTTTCTCATGTCTAACACAAGTTTCTCCAGCTTTTAAGATTTTTAAAAAAATATTTGGACTCAGTTGGATTTAAAGTCTGGAAGGTAACATTAGACAATAAAAACTCTGGGGTTCGCCCTGGCCGGTTTGGCTCAGCGGTTGGAGCGTGGGCCTGCGGTCCGGAGAGACCCGGGTTCGGTTCCCGCTAAGGGCACGTACCTCGGTTGCAGTTTGTCCCCGGCTCTGGTTGGTCGTGCGGGTGGCAGCCACTCGATGTGTCCCTTCACATCGATGTTTCTCTCTCTCTCTCTCTTCCTCTCTCTCCCTCCTGCTCTAGCTGAATAAAAAACAAAACAAAACAAAAACTCGGGGGTTCATGCCACTGCTTCACCAGGTCTCCAGGGCTGAGATCATTTAACCTGACCTCATCTCAGTTCTGTGGGGAACTGGACACAGATTAAGAAGTCAAGACTATAAAGAATTTGAGGTCAAGAAATACAGATATCTGAAGCCCTCCACCATTTAGTTTTTCTTCATCCACCTCTTTCTTTACATAAAAGATGAGCCCAGCCAGTGTGGCTCAGTGGATCAAGCATGGTCCCATGGACTGAGGTCCAGTTTGATTCCCGCTCAGGGCACATGCCCAAGTTGCAGGCTTGATCCCCAGTAGGGGGCCTGCAGGAGGCAGCCGATTGATTGATGTTTATATCTCTCCTTTTCTGTCTTCAAAAATCAATCAAAACATATTTTTTAAAAAGTGAGCCCTGGCTGGGTAGTTCAGTTGATTGGAGCATCATCCCATACACCAAAAGGTTGCAGGTTTAATTCCCGGTCAGGTCAAATACCTAGGTTGTAGGTTCGATGCCTGGTTAGGGAGTGTACAGGAGGCAACTGATTGATGTTTCTTGTTCACATCAAAGTCTCTTTCTCCTTTCCTCACTGAAAAAAAAATAAAAAAAAATATTCTCTCTTTGGGTGAGAATTGAAAAAACAAGAAAGTCAAGTGACAGTTCTGACTAAAACATCCAACTCCAACCCATCTTCATCACCTCTTCTGTGTTCTGGTTTAAACTGTGAGCTTTAGGAGGCTATAAGTCAACTACATTGATTCCTCTCGGGTGCACATGGGATTCGTGTTGTTTGCAAGTTCCCTAATTAGAGAATTAGAATTTTCTAGCAAGTGTTTAACAGTCCCAATGCTCAGAACTCACACAAGAATTGACTAAACGTATACCTCTGAGAGAAGGATCCAGACATCAGTAGTTTTTATTTTATTTATTTTTAATCCTCATCCGAGGACACTTTTCTATTTATCTTCAGATAGAGTGGGAGGGAGGGAGAGACTGGTTGCCTCCCACACCACCCCGACTAGGGCCGGGGACTAACTGCAACCAAGATACATGCCCTTGACCAGAGTCAAACCTGCAACTCATTGGTCCACGGGCCGACGCTCTAACCACAGTGAAATCAGCCAGGGCTTTTTTTTTTTTCAGACATCAGTTCTTAAATCTCAGGTGAGTCCACTGTGACCCACTCTGTGTGCAGGTCACTTGCGGACATTGTTGACATGTACGTGATGACACAGCAGAGCTGGGTGGTGCCTGAGAGTCTGTATATTTAATAAGCTGCAGGTCCAAACAAACTTCTCTTTATTCTCTGGATGAATAAAAGTAATTTTAAAAAGATTAGCAATGTTTAGAAATCAAAGAATCTATAGAATGTCATATTTGGGAGAAGTTTATTAACATTAAAATTTTTTTTAAGCATTTACAATGACCGATAACCAAAATATACGAGGCCAAGAGAATATCCCCTATAATTGTTTCTATTAAAATACTTCCATGATACCAAAACTCATCTGAGCTCAAGGTGCTGTTTGGAAGACGCAGACGCCAAGGCGGGTTTCCCCAAATCCAGTCATTTACACACGTGCACATGAGTTTCACTGCTGCCAATGTACATCATATTGTAGTAGCTCTGTGTGTGGCCTCGGTTTCTTCCAAAATTAATTAAACGTGTAGATGCCAGTTTGGTAAGTTCTATTTTAATGCAACTTAACATGACGTGGATAAAATGGACTCTGTGCACACGTCTGGCGGCACCATCTGGAGTCCCGCCGTCCCGTACACCGCAGCTGAGGATGTGTCCATCACCAGACGCTCCCCACACCTTTCCCGTCCAGGACGCCCGAGAGTCGATTCTGAGTCTCCCTGGTCGCTCCCGGTCACTATCCTCAGGAGACAAGGGACCAGGAGGTCCTCTAAGAGGACAATCCCTGGACACGGACAGTGTCCCTCAGAACCCTTGAAGTCATGAGGACTTGAACTAGGAGAGGGGCTTCTCGGAAAGCCGGAATGAGGGAGCTGATTTGGACCTGGAGCTCCACCATCCATCGTCTGATCTCAGGAAGACCAGGGAGATGCTGGCCTGGGACATGGCTGGATGGTGGGAGACGGGACACAGTGCAGGCCTGCACGGTCCGCAGGTGAGGTCACCTGTGGGGAGACTGGAGGTGAGAGCTTGGCATCTGGGAAGGTGTCTCATCATTTGAGGTAGTCTTGGGATGAAATCCATTTCTACTGAAGGGAGGCTCAAGCATGTGGAGAGCCCAGCAGGTGGTCCCGGGAGTCTGAAGGAAGCTGAGACCCAGGCTATCAGGAGTGTTGAAAGTCTGCGTGGGGATCTGGGCAGCTCTCCTGCCTGGTGCCTGAGTTTGCAGTCTTGGACCAAACTGTGTGGCAGGGTATGGGCTGGGGTGTAAATTCACATCAGGGTACGTGGCTTGTGCCTGGGGACAGAGGACGTGGTTAAGGTCAAGTGCAGGGTGGCAGCTTGGAGAACATGGGAGCCTGTTTTGTTTACAATGAGGGTAGGGTCCTGGTCAAAGTACTTGGATGCTGGCTGGTGGGATTCAATGTCACCCCCTGCCTGTACTTTCTGTCTATGAGGAGAGAGGCCATCCAGGCTAGAATAAGAGGTTGCTGGCACCACAAGGGGACTTGGAAGTGTTGAGAGGCTCAGCCAG